GAATCATAAAGGAACTCCTATGTAGCATCGGAAGAATGAAGTAGACTGATCCCCTCTCAGCATGAACAACCTCTACTCCTGACGAACACCTGAAAAATAATGGAGGGTTAGGCCCACAAACAAGTTCTACTCTACTACAGTCCAAGCAGAAATCCGATACACGTATACATCCTAGTCAATCCAACAGTAACTAGTAGTCCGTATATATATATATATACACACTAAAGGAACCTCACTAGACTATAGGGTTGTCTCAACCTGAATAGTAGGCAACATGCAAAACGCACATATAGTGGGCATGAGTATCTAGACCTACCAGGGTACATAACTACACTATATCTAGCTACACATCCCTGGCGATATACGCGCCCTAACCACTGATCCTGAGACTCAAGCTCATATCATGGCACCATACTTATATATATATAATCTAGTAACCATACTATCCGGTACAAATTAATCATCTATAAGTCATTCAACTTGTTCAGCTGACCTGACTTAAATATAAGTAGGATTTAACATTTTAGTTAATCCATTCCCTTATATAATAAATTAATCCTCCATAAGTTATTCAACTTGTTCAGCTGATCTGACTTGAATATAAGTAGGACTTAACATTTTAGTTAATCCATTCCCTTATATAAAATAGGTATGATTTAACTGATAAGTTAATTCGTCCCTAGAACGCCACCATCCCATATCGGTGCATTAAACCACACAATCCAACAATTGATGTAACGATTAAGGAAATACATCAAACAATCCAGAAATAACTATGATAATATGATATCAAGTTATCACAAAATAGGAATGACTTATTATTTATTTAAGCTTCCCATATCATATGTCCTACACAAACTGAATCTTATACATGATGATATTTTATTATATCGTCAAATAAGCATTCTCCATATCCAATTCATCCTACACATTTAAAACATTTTAAAAGATTAAATCCATTCGTTTCTTTAAAACATTCAAATAGCAAGCATCATTATGATTGAGTCTATTTAAATTTATTTAAACCCAAACCTAGTTCCTATTTAATGTTCAAGAATCCTAGGCATGTTTCTACATTCCATCATTTCACAGATATGAAAAATACATAATTTAAACATGTAAAAATTCACACCGGAAATCAAATCAAAATCATGCATTTATCAATTCATAACACAAGAACAGATATGAACCAAATTCATAAAACCTATATTCTAATCTAATTAAACATGCATAATTATTTAATTTTATGTGTTTACTAAATTCTGAAATTTCCTAGGCATGTACAGAAACACGAATCAAAGGGAAAGAGATAGAAGAAGAACTTACCTTAAACTTTCGGATCGAAAATTAAACTTCTTCTTCCTTGAGGGGTTTTTCTCCTCCTTCCTTCCTTTTCCTCCTTCATTCTCTAATTCTCTCTCTCTAGAATATATCACGTGAATATTTCTAACCCCTTTTTCACAACCTATAACTATATAACCCTAATCATTTTCTCAATCTAAGTCAACTTTTAAAAAATATATATTAAAATATTAAAAAGGTAAGTAAAATATGTTAAGTATATAATTTATGTATATCTTTATTAAATAAATAAATTATACACATCTCATTATTTATTAATAGATTATCCAATAATACCTAAGTTACCATAATATTATAAAGTAACTTCAAACATAACACGTATCAAATCTATGTATATTTTTATTATTTAAATATAAAACATATACATCAGATTAAATATTACTACCTAAGTTACCATAAAAGTAATTAATAAATTACACATTATTTATTAATGTATTATCCAATAATACTTAAGTTACCATAATATTATAAAGTAACTTAAAACTTATTACGTGTCAAATATATATATATATATATATTTATATTATTTAAATATAAAATATATACATCAGATTAAATATTAATACCCAAGTTACCATAAAAGTAATTAATAAATTACCTAATATTTATTAATGCATTATCTAATAATACTTAAGTTACCATAATATTATAAAGTAACTTAAAACATAACACGTATCAAATCTATGTATATTTTTATTATTTAAATATAAAACATATACATCAAATTAAATATTACTATCCAAGTTACCATAAAAGAAATTAATAAATTACTTTCCTTTTCATATATGTATATAATATATATTTATATATATATATATACACAACTATCCATGGGTAATAATTCGTACCCATCCAACCTCCTATCCAAGTAGTCCATGGAACCCAACCCATTACTACTAACCATAACCATAAAAGAAAAATAAAATAAAATAATAAAATAAAAGAAAACATTTAATTTACAATTAATCAAAACACCATTTACGTACATAATCTAATTAAACAATTAACACATAGACAAATACAAATAACACATAGACACATAATCAAATATTCAAGTAACACTTAATTCAATTAAACCCATAAGCAATTAGTTAAATAATTAATTAAATAATTAAAAATACAATTAAAACAAATAAATAAATACCGAGATTATCCTTTTAAAATTAGAGGTATTACAACATCAGTAATTGATTGTATGCTTATTTTGAAGGTTCCAAATTCTCGTTGTGCACTTATTTTTTCATTATACATTTTATTATATTATTATTTTTAAAATAATAAAATAAATTTTTTTATTGTTTTTTTTTTTTTTTTTTTTTTTTTTTTTTTTTTTTTGTCTTTTCTTACCAGTTTTATTCTCAACAACTATAATACTAACGGCTATAATTGTTTGCTCCGATTTAGATACAAGATTTAAAATATATATATATATATATATATATATATATATATATATATAAGTGCATTACATAGCTTCCTACAAATAAAATAAAACAATACAACTCATGAAAAAAAATATATTAATAATTCCACGCATGAAATTTTTTTTAGTAAACATTACAATTAATTGCCCCTTTAACGTGCCATAATTTCATTTTGTCGATCCTCAATCCATAATTAATCCAATACACATACAATATTTATTTTACACATCATCACACAATATCACTTTTTCATTTTATATTATTATTACACACAAAAGCCAACCACGCCTGTTGCGATTGCCCACTGCCAGACGCTACTCCATTCTTTAGCTGTGGAGTATGGAGTGTGTAATATTACATGGGCCCCACTTGTGTGTAATATGCATAGGAAAACAATTTGATTGTACACAGGTTGAGATATTGTACACTTAGGGTCAGTTTGGTAGAGTGGAAATGGGAGGAAAGGGAAGGGAAGGCGATGGAGGGTGTTTAAAAAATTATGTTTGGCTAAAATGGGTGGAAGGAAAGGAAAGGAGAGGGAAGGCTTTGGAGGATTATGTATAGCCTTGTATAGTGATTTTCTTATCTTCACAAAAATGGGAGGAAATGGAAGGAAAGTGAAGGCAATGGCTGATGGAGGAGTTGTGATGCCAATTTTACCCTCAAGATTACACAAATTTGCAAAACTATATACATACAAGTTAGCCGTTGCAAAGAGAATGAGAGACGGCAGCCAGTGGCTGAAGCTTGCGAACGGCGAATCCGAACTGGAACAGCAGCGATGGAAACTGAAAGATATAGGTTTTGATTTTCTAAACAATCTGAAATGATATACCAGAGATGGGTACAAATAGATAAACTGAAATATATGGGTTTTGAACTTCTAATTCTTGTAGTGCAGAGGAGAGAGATAGAGAGAGAGGGGCAAGTTAGAAGTTGAGAACGAGAATAGAGATGGAGGTGAGATTGGGGAGGTTGAAATGATTTGCCCTAATTTTTTTTTTCTTTTCTTGTTGCCCATTAGTATAGGAGACTATATATATATATATATATATATATATATAATAGAGATGGAGGCGAGATTGGGCATGCTGAAATGATTTGCCCTAATTTTTTTTTCTTTTCTTGTGCAGGTATAGGAGACTATATATATATATTTTAAAATATAATAGTTATTTTATAAAAGGGTATAATAGTCATTTTATTAAAATAATTCCCTTTCCTTTCTTTCCCTTTCTTTTCCCAAACGTGATTATTATCCTTCCCTTTATTTTTCTTCATTAATCAACCAAACACAATAGGAGGTTAAAATTATTCTTCCCTTCTCTTTCCTTCATAACTAATATTATCTTTCTCCTTCAAACCCCCCGCACCAAACATAGCCTTAATGCTCACGCTGGGGTTGCTCTTAGTGGTTTATAACGCACTTGACTTTTGTAACGGTCTAATAAAATTTGGAGTTGTTCTAAGCATACGGTAATTGTAGATGTGTTCTCTAAGATTTATTACATCATGTTACATATACATATATCATATAATTTAATTGAATTCAACTAATTACATATATCAACTGTATGAAATTGGCTACAAACTTATCCCAACTATTGGAGTGAGGTAACATAAAAAGATGCATGGTACTACCATAAATCATTATCGAATGAAGAAAAAATAATAGGAGTAATAATAAATTGCATGCTGAAAAATCTCCAGTCACGGTTAGTGTTCGAATTTTCGCATGATATGTTATGTTTATTGCTGCTGTACAATTTATTCCAAGCCAATAGATCTGATTTTATAGAATAAATACCTCTTACATTCAAGGACATCTTGACTAATTTGAATAAACAGAATTGATTTGTTCAAAAAATAAATTAAATAAAAATAAAAGAACTAACAGCATCAACATCAAATGGGGCCAATGGGCAGACAAGCTAAAATACCTACAATTATAACATGAACAGACTACATTCTCCCATTTGTCACCTAACACAATTTTCACGAACCGCTTCGTAACTCAAGGTGTAGAGTAACTCCCTGTTAACCTTGGGAGTCCGGCTTCAAGCCTTCGCACCTCCCTTCCCACTAACCAGTAACCCCTAACATTCTTGTCATAAAGAAAAAAAACCTACCACAATTTTCTTGCTTAACTAAATAGGCGATTCCAGCATCATTATAGTAGCAGCTTTCCCAAAATGAAAAGAAACTCATTCCCTATACATCAAACCAGTGAAACATTTTCTTTTATTAGAATGAAAAAGATACGGTCAAAATTACTTATTAGCAAGCGTGAAGGACAACCAAGGCTCTTCTGCATAATGACATATCTTAAATATCTAAACAATACATTATCTATTCTTCTCACCGGTAGCAAAACATTATTAGAGCCACCTAGGATTTTGTGAGGAAAATTTAGGAAATCAGCTAACCTTGGTCAGTTAAGAAAAGTGAAATTTACTTCAGAACACTGTTGGCTTCAATGTCCAACCATAGTTTCTTTTCGGATAAAAGATGCCTTATTCCGATACCTCTGGCACTGATTAGGGACCATATCAACCTCCTCACTCCCAACTAAGTTTAAGAAATGTCTTTATGATTCCCATCATCTCACCCCCGGGAAAACGCCCAAGACAGCCCCTTGCTGCCGCTATCTCATTTAACTCACAAACTGAATCACCACTGAAAGCTTGAAGCAGTTTACTTTTTTTTTCTTCTTCCATCACCATATCATCTGCTGAATCTTCGTCAGCACTGACTGTTGGAAGAGGGAATGGATCAAGGGAAGTTTCTGAAATTATGGACTCCCCACCAATAGCACCCACAAAGTCTTTCAATCGGCACAATGCAAAGGGAACTGGTTCAAAGCTGTGGTCACCATATTCTACTGGAGTCGAGTGGTCTCCAGTAACACAAAGGTAGTATTGATAATTCCCGGTTGATTCTGCCTGCCAAAGGAGCTTTGCCAGCTGCCCTATAGCTCGATCAACAGCTTCCAACCCCTTGACTTTGAAAATGCTGGCTTTATCATGACCAGCGTCATCTATTGCCTGCAATACAAACAATCAAGCAGTTCAAGCATATCCTTCACTGCAGGAGGTGAGTCCTCAGGCCTCCATAATCATGTTACCTTTTGCACACACAACTAGTTGGGAACGAAGTTTTAAGCAGCAACATTTAAGTGATTCAAACAATTTGGAAAACCATCAATTTTTCCATTTCGTCTGGCTAATTGAGATGGTCCAAGACTGTCTTTCTTGACGAATAGTGGTCCAAATCCAGAGGATATGACCCCCTTCTGGACAGTCAAACATAATACGTGCCCTTTAACACACATGATAGCCCATGATTTGATTTTGAGACTCCAATGCAAGTCATCATTTAACTAGTTCAGCATGAAAAAAAGGATACGGAAGACCAGACCCTTTTTCTCTTTCCTCCCCCACCCCCCTCCTTTTTCTTAAAGTGAATTTTGTTGGAATGCAAGGTTTGAGGAAGTTCATGAAATTGAAAGAAGACCAGCCCTAAGAAGAAAATAGAAAGATGCAGAAGGTCAACAAGTCACGACCTTAATGTGAAGGAACCCAAAATCATAGCCATCAGATCGACCTTGTTTGTGCTCATTCTCTCCTGGTACAAAAACATTGGAGCAAGGCTGTAGAGGAGCTGCGAGTGCCTTGGCGATGGCAGTTGCTTTGGAAGTTAATAGTGTTCTATAGTCTCCAGTTGCTCCAGGAGCTTCTAGGATATCAATACCAAGTGATAAGCCCAGGCCAGCTATAATTTTTGTTGGAGCTACCATGCATGGCCATAGTCCATGTTTCTTTTCAAATGAAGGAACCTACAACACATAAAGGAGCAACAGGAACGATTACTGCTAACTGGTAAAAACAGCAGAGAGCTCTTTGATAAGTCAGATGATGTCAATTCCATTTTCTCTAAGCAACAAATTCCTTGCTCAAGAGGGAGAGAGAAACAGGTGGTGGGGTATTTCAGAATTAATAAAAAACAGACCTCAATCCGAATGCCACAGCCTCGTAACAGGACAACATTGGCAACATTCTTTCCTTCTGCTGCTCGTTTTCCATTCAATGGATGAGAAATCAGAATCCGTGATATCTCCTTGGATAATTCATTAACAACTGAAGCTGTGTGCTTTCCTTCATCAGTATCATCAAGAGCTTTAGCTTGTAAAAGTAAGCGGTTGTCCTTCAGTGGGTCAGTTCCTGATATATTTCCACTTAAGTTCGGTCCTTTCACAACCACTCCGCACCTATGCTCCGTTGCATACCTGTAGGATATGAATTTTATGTTAGTTGCTCCCTATCTTATTTATGAAATTAGAAGCCACAGAATAACTTCCAGGTGCAGACAAAAGCATTAATATTTTAAAGCAGATTGAGAATTTACATGAACTTGGCTGAGAATGAAAGCTTAAATCTCTGTCTTTCCTGTTATTCAAGATTATAGTAACTAGAAAAACACCCGAAGAATCTTTTACATGTAAGAGAAAACTGGAGATTAACAAATTTGCCTGTTTACCAGTTCACCTTGAGGCCTGTAGGCTTGGGGCTTGAACTATAAACCACAAGGCCAAGGTTCGAGACTGGTAGAACGTATGCCAAATTTGCCTGTTTTAAGATTTTTTTCCCTTCCCTTGTGACAAGTTTCCTGTGTAAAAACCCTACACAGGAACCCTGACTACTTGTAGTTGTCTGCATGGCTCATCAATGGACAAGGAAAGCTACTGCAATAAAAGGATCTTCACCTGACTCTGACTTCATATTGAGGAAAAGATGGCAACTTCATTCCATCCAATGCTGCACAGAGAATAGGCCCTTCTTCTTCAAAGTGCCGATCAGCCCGCCTACTGGTGACTATTCCAGTTTTCTCATTCAAGGTTGCAAAATTTGACTGGAGATTAGAATTAGTAATAGATTGTCATAAGATAAAGCCAGAAATGAGCAATGCATTCCAGAGTAAATGCTGCATGGGATCAATTAAACATAAGAAGCATTGCTGGAAAACTAATTAGCCTTAAGTTAGACATTTATTCAAAATAAAAAGTTAATCCGAACCTGAAATGAGCATAAAGAAACACACAAAGGTTTCATTCAGTGCATGAGTAGTAACACTTGTTACAAAATTTTCATTGTAAACAGCATCATAATTGGATGTAAAAGGCATATCCTGATTATAGAAAAAATTCCAATGAAGTATTTAATATGTTAAAGATAAAATCTAGGGGTGTCCCAACTCATGCATACACATGTAAGTGCGCACGCACGCACACACACACACCAAAAACAACAAACAAACAAAAAACAATATAACAAATGAAAAGCCTCAGTTCTAGTTTATTCGTGAGGTCCATGATTCTGTGATTTGCAGGGAGATCAATAGGCAATATAAAGGTCTAGAAATTTACCATTCTATCAACTGAATGCTATGAAAGGAGAGGACCAAACCCATCTCAGAGCTACAAACTGCTATATAAGGGGTGGAAGAGACAAGTTTAGAATTCATATGGTTTAAGGCTTTTGATCTTCAAAGAGTTTAGGGGTGCTTGTGATGTAGCTTTCTTGGTGGCCATACCTGCTTGAGTTGCTTTGCTGCCTCAGTTGGTTAGTAGATTTTGCTGCATCACTTTTGGTGTCAGTAATAAAAAAATTCTTACTCATAGCAAAATGTAATCAGAAGTACAATCATCCTAAATTCACGATCTTCTCAAGGTTCCCGTGGATTAACTGTAGCTTAATTCAACCCGTAAGAATGATGTAACTTACAGACTGGAACAACTTAATTGCACAGTAACTCCCCGAGCCATCACATAATAAAGCTTTCAAGCAGGTATCATCCCTCGTCTTCAATTTAGCCACAAAATACAGAACTAGAGTGCAACAAATCAGTACCACTGTATTTATTTCCTTATCATGGTCAGAATGCCTAATATTCAGAAATTATATTTTATATGACACATGGCAAGTTATCTTGAGGAAAGAAATAAAGTGTGCCAAGTTACAAGAACGAGAAGGGAAAAAAAAAAAGCTTAGAAATAATTACAAGCAATGAGGAAAGACAAAAACATACTTTGAAAGCAATATCCCCAGGTGACATAGCCAATCCAGCACCCATTGATTCAAATGCACCTCGACCACGATAATATATTCTTGGATCATAACCCAATAAAGAAAGGTGGGCCGTGTCACTTCCACAAGCCAAGCCTACTTCAACAGGGTCCATGAGACCATTCACACCAGCAGAAGCAATAGCATCCAAATTGGGTATTGTTGCAATTTGCAAAGGGGTCTTATAACCAAACCTTGGCAGTGAAACATCACCTATCCCATCAATCAAAACAAATGCGACTCTTCTCTTGGGCTGCTCAGAATTAACCATTCTTCTATATAATAAAATTTCCTTTCTCCGTTCTCTGATGGGTTTAAGGCCAGACAATACAATCCCTTCAATAAGAACAATTAAAAATAAATTTCTCCATATATAGTAATCAAACAAACCGTATCAATCATAGTATATGAGTGTATCGTACGTAGTAGGCTTCATAGCCTCAAATGGCAGTGCTGTAAATCAAACTGAGTTAAACATAAAGTAGATAAAATTAGATATGTATTTCACTGTTCCAAAAAAATAAATAATTAAAATGCTGACGGATTGTTTTTCATATACATTGGTCTAAAATTACAGAGTACTAGTTGTGTAAACTAGGGAGATGGGGGAGTCAACCATGGGCACACCTGCTGGTGTTTTACCAACTAGACCACTGGATAATGCCCACAGAGTACTAGTTCAGAGATGTGAAAATGAGCTGAATGACTACAAATATAAATTGCCCAAAGTCAGCGACAAAATATTAAAAGTTCGATGGAGTTGTTGCTTCTTTTCTTTTAACATAGCAAGGAGGGGAGGGGGTGGATGGGGCGAGTTGATCCTGGGCTCCCACACAACTCAGGAGTGACTCTACCAACTGGGCTACCCATCTCACCCCAATGGAGTTGTCATTTGTCCATGATTTTGCACAACTTAAAACCTGTTGTAAGTTTCAAAATTACTCCATACATTTCATGATACGAAACTCGAGAAACAAACTCAATCAAACCCAATCCCCTCTCTCAACAGAATTATTTCGATCTTACAAAGTAATAATCCAAAAAAAATGGAGATGAGTTTTCATCAATATATTATACGCAAGCTAATTTCTTTGAAATTTACCAGAAAGTAACAAATGGATTTTCCACTTTATAAACCAAACATCATATCAACAGCTTTAACCCACTTGAGCACTATAACATCAGATTTTCAAACTTCACAGCAGAAATTCTAAAAATACAAAGCTTTAACCTCTAATATTAACGGAAAATAAAAAGGGTTAATATGAAACAATCAAAAAGAGTGATGCTAAAAATTATTACCTGCTTCGGTTGTAAATCACCGATTGTATTTGGACTCAGACGAAGAAAAAGAATAAGCTCTTTCTGTGTTGCAACTTTTCAAGAAATGGGTTTCAATTCTCTTCAAAAGATTCGCTATGCTACGTGTCGACTGAATGATGAGCCGAATTCCGAAGTAACCCAAACGGGCCCTGAGACCATAGAACGACAAGGTAGTGAACAAACTCGCCTGGCGACTGCGTGAGGTAGAGGTTTGGTTCGGGTTATCGGGTCATCACTTGAACCCGATGTTACATACAAATTCCAAAACGAGACTGAGATAGTGGGTGATCAGGTGATGTGGTGGTACGAAAGGTAGACACGTGTTCGAGATTTAAAAATGAATCAGACCCGTTTTAACTGCTTAACCGGTTCATACGTGTTTTCTCGCTCTAAAGTCTCATCTCCACTTACCTCAAGAACAGAGGAGCTCGAATTTTCAGCAAAAATCACAAGAATGATCATCAAATAAATGATATTAAATTCAAATTTTCGTGCATGGGTATCCATATATATTTTAATTTTTAAGTTAGTTACCACAATCAATTTTTTTCTTTCACAGCATATATATACACACACACACAGAAGAATGTCTGAAGCAACTACCTTTGAAGCCAATCACCCTCTGCGGAACCTTGACATCGTCTCCCTTATTGGTAAATGTTGTCGTCGATACGGTTTCGCTGAAAATACAGATCTCAGATCTCTCCGTCGGTGAATGCTTGGGTTCTCAGATCTCGCTGTCGATACGGCGATGCCCTGCTTAGTTTCTCAGATCTCGCCGTCGATGAATGCCGGTGGCTGCGTAGAGCTGAGTAATCTTTGCTTACCGAGGGTATAGTGGAGAGAGATGGAGAAAGGTAGGGAATGGAGGTGGTGGTGGCGGTGAAGGGTGGGCAGCGGCGGTGATTAGGGTTGGGGCAGAGAGGAGATTTGGAGAGATGGGGAGATTTCTTTCTGATATGGGTTCTATCCGGTTAACCCGTTTTTAAACGGGTCTAATTAATTTTTAATATTATATATATATTTTTTTTTCAGACGTCAATCTTCATTGGAATTGCAATTTGTAGTTTCAAAGCAATCAAATTAGTTTGGTTTTCATTCGTTCCCCAATATTTTTTTTTTAGTTTCTTCTGTTCATTCCCAAATCAAAGGACAGAAGAATGACGAGAAATTTCAGTGTGTGTTAAGTGCCAAATATATATATATACATATATATATAAATAATTTACACCATATTGTCAACCAAAAAAAAATTGTTTAGGCTCGCTCGCCAATTTCTTTTCTTGAAAATGCTTTTATTTTGACACAGCACAGTGTTCACACACACCAAACCGGCCGAGAATGGACACAAGATGCTGAAAAATATATCTCTTTAAGACTATGTTTAGTACGGTGGGTTTGAAGGGAGAGAATAATATTAGTTATGAAGGAAATGGAAGGATAATTTAACCTCCTATTATGTTTGGTTGATTAATGTAGAAAAAGAAAGAAAAGAATAATAATCATATTTGAAAAAAAAAAGAGAATGAAAGTAGTTTTGTAAATTTACTATTATACTCTTTTACATTATAAAAAATAAAGTTATGGGCTCAAAATTTATAGGCCCATGGATGATGGGCCACCAGAAAAACAAATATATTTTTAGGGCAAATAATTTCAATATCTCGCCTCCATCTCTATTCTTGTTCTCAACTCTGAACTTGCCCTTTCTCTCTTTATATGCAACTGCAAACTACAAAATCTACAAGAATCAGAAGTTCAAAACCTACATATTTCAGAATCAATAGTGAAGTAGTTAAGTCTGACGACTTCTATGAGCGGTGAGGAGGTTTGGTCAACCACAAAATTGAAATTGGCTCCATCCATGTACTTATCTATCATGCTTGATTCATCGCCCGACTGAACTTCGCCGCCCACTTGCCATCACCCACGCATGCGAGTAGATCTAACGCATCTTTCACGTGCACACACGCCCCTTCTGTTGATAAAATAATGTATCATATAGTATAGTATAATTTATTTAAATATTATTTGTAAATATAATATTTATTATACTAATCTATATATATATATTTATATAGTTTAATATCAAGAAAATAAAACTATAAAAGAACCTGATAAAGTCAAGGTTAGAATTTAATTCTATAGCCTTAAGACAGATACGCCCCGCTACGGTGCTAACGGACTCTTCGGCGTCTATCTCCCAGGATACAACGACTTTTCTTCATTTGGTAGTAGCACTTCAAACCAATGGAATAGGCGAACCGGCTCGGTTTAGTACTCTCTGTTGAACTCAGACTCGGAGACCAGGATTAAACCCTAACTCGGAGACCAAGATTGAACCCAAACTTGGAAACCAAAGTTCGAACCCAATCCAAACCAGTTTAGGTTGAACCCAAACCAGTGGCTGAACCGAACAAAGAAGAATTAGAAGAAGAAATTCAGAAAAAGAGAAGAAGATTTCTGAATTGGTGTGAATTGAAATGAACCCAATGATGGGTATTTATAGGCTTGTTGGTGCCTATTCTGAATGGGTGCACCCATAGTCCGAATGGGTGCAACCATTGTTGACCAATCAAAATTAAAAATCTGTTGGTGGTTTTTAATTTGTAAAGGGTGCAACCCTTGGTTCAAACAAAAACTATTTTATGGTTTTTGATTTGAATTTAAACCCAAAACAGATTAAGCCCAGCAAGCAAACTTCGGCAGCCCAGCCCAGCGTGCTCCACTTAAATAAAATAACCACACAGGCCCAGTCCAACTTTGTGTAAAAAGGTTAGACCCATTTTACAATTAAGCCCGCCCCGCCCAAGCTCGAACAGGACGGGCGGCGCGCGTGTGTGTGGTAGTTGGTTCGGATCCAGGCTAGCCTAGGTCCTCCCCCTCTTAAAAACTTGGGTGCCCTTGGGCCCAAACCCAAATCCCATACTAGACATATATATACTCAAGGTTGCTTTGCTACTTTTTTGATGTGGGACAAGCATTTCCCACTTTATTCACACCCATTTAGGCTTTATAAATCACTTACTTTGGAGCCAATTTCTCATTCACCCGGAAACGGATTTGAGAAAATAAATATACCACGTTCATCTCTTCGCAGAGAGGAACGCGCTTGTCAATAGATTCGCAAAAAATTCTTAGCGGAATCTTTTAAAAATCCTTCCAAAGTTTGCGTTTTCTAATGTCGTTTCCAACAATCCCCCACATGAATGAAAATTTACGCAGATTACAAAAGGAGAAGATGCAGACACTATAGAGAGTACTATTGGAAAGTTACTGCATCAAAATAGGTAGCTTGTGGCCTTGAACCTTCCCTAGTGTATTACCATCGGATTTACTGGCTAACCAGTGAACATTATGTCTTGAACTGTTTAGCCGTTGATGTAAACCAAGACAATAGCAAACACACAATTCCTTCCCACACAAAGTCGGTTCTCACGGTTGTGTTCATATGGCCCTGAACAACGCCTGGTATTTCATGAGCGCTCCAGAAAACTTAGTCTTAGAAGTTCTCATAGAAGCGGCCCCACTTCACACTCATATAGGTGACTTCTTATCAAGAGTATCCTACCATACCCCACTTGAATTTTCAAGGTATAAGAGTCATTAAAAGCATAACTTATCCTACTCATTGCTGTAGGTAACACTGTCTCATCATAGAAATGGGTAGAAGATTGAATCTTCCCAGTGCTTCTGGTGAGCCATTCAGAATTTCTGTTGTCCCTTTGAACCTAGATCTTGGGATCTCCAGTCAACTAGGTTGGGTTTCCATTAAGATGACTCGTTAACTTTCGGCTTTAATCTCATTCCCCTCGATGAACTATATACTTGCTCTCTTGTCAAACCTTTTGTAAACGGATCCGCTAAATTATCTTTTGACCTGATATAATCTATTGAGATTATCCCACTTGAGAACAATTGTCTAACGGTATTATGTCGTCGACGTATATGTCGAGACTTACCGTTGTACATATTACTTTGTGCCCTTCCAATTGCTGATTGACTATCACAATGTATACATATAGCGGGCACCGGTTTAGGCCAATTTGGAATATCTTCTAAGAAATTACGAAGCCACTCAGCTTCTTCACCTGCTTTATCCAAAGCAATAAATTCAGATTCCATAGTGGATCTGGCAATACAAGTTTGTTTTGAAGATTTCCAAGATATGGCACCTCCTCCAATAGTGAAGACATAGCCACTTGTGGATTTAGAATCCTTTGTATCTGATATCCAATTAGCATCACTATATCCTTCAAGTACTGCTGGATATATAGAATAATGTAATCCATAACTTATAGTATATTTTAAATACCTTAGAACTCTAATTATTGCAGTCCAATGGTTCTTTCCTGGATTACTAGTATATCTACTCAATTTATTAACTGAGTATGCTATGTCTGGTCGTGTGCAATTCGTCAAATACATTAAGCTTCCTATAATGCGAGAATACTCAAGTTGTGATATGCTAGGACCAGTATTTTTCGATAAATGAAGATTTACATCAACAGGAGTCTTTATAAGACTACTATCCCCTTTATTAAACTTTTCTAATATTTTCTCAATATAGTGAGATTGAGATAATACTAGACCATCTGATGTTCTAGAAATCTTAATTCTTAGTATGACATCAGCTATGCCTAAATCTTTCATATCAAAATTTTTGGTCAACATCTTTTTAGTAGTTTTGATTATAACATCATTACTACCCATTATTAGCATATCATCCACATATAGGCACACAATGACATATCCATTTTGAGTGTTTTTCACATACACACATTTATCACACTCATTAATTTTAAAACCATTTGACAACATCACTTTGTCAAATTTTTCATGCCATTGTTTAGGTGCTTGTTTTAATCCATATAAGGATTTTACAAGTTTGCACACCTTCTTTTCTTTTCCTGGAACTATAAACCCTTCAGGTTGTTCCATATAGATTTCCTCCTTTAATTCGCCATTTAAGAAGGCAGTCTTAACATCTATTTGATGTATTTCTAAGTTTTGCAGTGCTGCAATAGCTAGTAACAATTTAATGGATGTTATTCTTGTGACTGGTGAATATGTATCAAAATAATCCAAGCCTTCTTTTTGCCTGTATCCCTTAGCAACAAGTCGGGCTTTATATTTTTCAATTGAACCATCAGGCTTCATCTTCCTCTTGAAAATCCACTTATACCCTAAAGGTTTAGTACCAGAAGGAAGATCCACCAGCTCCCAAGTATGATTTTGCATGATGGATTCAATTTCACTATTTATGGCTTCTTTCCATAAATTAGCTTCAGGAGAAGACATAGCTTCCTTGTAGCTTTGTGGCTCATTCTCCAATATATATGTCAAAAAATCAGGACCGAATGACTTAGACGTTCTAGCTCTTTTGTTACGTCTAGGTTCTTCCTCATTTTCATCATCTATAGACTCTTGGTCTATATTCTCTTGTATATTGCTATTAGTAGTATCATAATTTCTTTTAAGAGGATTTTTGCATGGAAATATATCCTCAAAGAAATAAGCATTCCTTGACTCAATAATTGTATTCACATGGATATCAAGAATGTCTGATTTATGCACAAGAAAACGATATGCACTACTATTCTGTGCATAGCCTATGAAAATACCATCAAAGGTTTTTGGTCCTATCTTAACTTTCTTAGGAGTAGGAATCGCAACTTTAGCTAAACACCCCCACACTTTTAAGAATTTATAGGAAGGTTTTTGACCTTTCCATAATTCATAAGGTGTCACATTTGATTTCTTTTGAGGTACCTTGTTGAGAACATAATTATCAGAGAGCAAAGCTTCCCCCCACAAATTATGGGTTAAACCAGAACTTATCAACATAGCATTTATCATTTCTTTTAAGGTACGGTTTTTGCGTTCAGCAACACCGTTCTGTTGAGGTGAATAAGGAGCGGTAGTTTGGTGAATAATACCATGTTCTGAGCAAATGTCAGTGAATGGTACTTCGTATTCACCACATCTATCACTTCTAAATATCTTTATCTTTTTTCCAAGTTGATTCTCAACCTCATTCTTGTAATGTTTAAACATTTCCAAGGCTTCATCTTTACTTCTTAACAAGTATACATAACAATATCTTGTGCAGTCAT